ACGATGACAAGATCAGAACAAATTCAGGACAGCTGGTGCAGATAACAGAACATATCATCTGTAGATTGTTGTGTTGGCTGTTTGGACCTGTTGATGTGAAACACCTCCGTTACCCTGAACGGTCACTGTGTTTATCCAGCCCACCGTCCTATCAGCTTCATTCTTTAGTTACACTCTCAGGCTTTGCATGCTTTAAGCAAAACGCAGTGTTTGTGTTGTGGAGCTTTTAGCCAAGCAGCTGTTTCCCTCTGCCTCCAGTTTTAATGCTAAGCTAAGCTAACAGAGCTCACCCTTGGTCTTCTCTTCTGATGTACAGACACTAGAGTGGCGACCAGGTCTCCTCTGATGCTGTCAGGTGTTGAGGGAACACATACATTCATTGCACACTAATGATAATTCAGTCATTGCACCATTAAGTCTGCAGCAGCTGATGAACGGAGAGAGAACATCAGAGTTTTAACTCCATCACAGGCCTGCTGTCATTGAGCTGTACATCTGAACCATGAGGGACTTCTCTCCAAACAATAAAATCGTTCTTTATCTGTGCCATCAGTTACTGTACTTTACTGTATTTGTTAAAGGAATTGTTTGATGTTTTAGGAAATGTGCTTGTTGGCTTTTTAATAGTTATAGATGAGTAGAATATATCTTCAGCTGCACCAACAGCAACAAGCCCACAAACACCTCCTGGATGGTGAGCTGTCATTACTGCACTTCTAGGTTTTCATACAGATCACACATAATCTGTGAGGAGAGCTCAGAGAGGCTGGCGGCTTGAGTCCCAGTTGTCTGCTCTCCACAGCTCGCTGTCTGCTGGCTGAAGCTCTGTAGAAACACTGAATGAGTACCGTAAGTGGACCATTCACACAGCAGCTGCTGCATCGCTGCTGCTCCTCTACAATCAGCGAGGGGCTTTGCCAGAGTTCTGCTTTATCATCATGATCCTACTGGTCAAGGCCAACGTGGTGCACATGCACTGCAGAGAGCCGCTCTGCAAGTTTAAACTATGAAGGCACCGAAAAAGTTCTCAGCCTCCCCAGAAAACGTCAGAGGAGTAAACAGAGTCTCCTTTAGCTTCAATCCACGGGTCCACCGATGTTGAAGCTTCCCTGTTCCTTCCTGGAAGGTCACATCTTGAGCCTCCAGATGCTCCTCAGCATCAGGGATGACTACATCATCATTGTGAGAACGGCTACCCAAGGAGGGTTTCAGTTTGGGAAGCAGAAACCAGACGGTGACGGGTGGACTGAGGAAGGAACATGGGGCAACAGTTCAAAGCCACATCTGGCTTCTTCTGCCACCAGCGCTGGGTGGACGGACTCATTGTCCTGGAGCCACAGCAGCCAGCTTCAAGCTCTCCTCCCCTTTTTTCCTTTAATGCTTCAAACATTTGAGTTTCTGTGGATGAGATGTAAGGCTTCATGTTATACAGTTATGCTCCTTGTTTCCACGTGAGGCTGAGAAAGTCTTAAAGTGCCCTCATACATCAGTTGCTTAAAATGTTTTCCTCCAGAGTCTACTGTAGTCTGTAAATGTGAACATACTCCCCGCACTGTGCTGGTCCAGATACTGAACACACAACAGGCCCAAAGTTAAGGCCCAAGGTCTGGTTTAGCTCCAGCATTAAATGCAGCCACTAAAAAGTACATTCTGCTGCCTGTCAGCTTCACAAACGGTCCCCGATGTCACAGGGTTAAAGGAAGGAACCTGAAACTGAAAGGAAACCTCAGGGTCCATTTTGCTAAACGTCTTAGGGATCTCCATCCATGGACACTTGCTGGCTGACCTAATCATCCTGCGTGTTCATCTATCTGCACCAGAGGGTCGTGAATAGCTAGGAGGGGATTTCTAAGGCACTCAGCTGAATACCTGTTCAGGTGTTTCGTTTCTGTTTCCTTCCAGTCAGACTGAAAACTAACATTTGAAATGATTCATGTCAAAATGTTTAGGTTTTTCCTTTTCCTTTTTTAAAGTTGACCCGGCTCGTGACCTTAATGTGTGCTTGTTTGTGCGATTCCTCGTATCCTCAAACCTCTACAGCGGAGATACAAAGTGCAGCACATTCACATAGATCACTGTTTGATTTCTAAGCTCTTGTGTTGGTGACTCTTGTGACTGGTAGACTTCACCGCTGGTCCTTTCTCATCTCAGATGCTGCCACACTCACGTTTTTCCTTGACTTTGTCCAGCAGTATTATGCTTTGATTGGAAGTCCAGGTCTTTAATTGTCATTTTGAACTTGTAATGACTGTAACATCGGCGCTGGCTGCTGCATCGCTACGCTCATGGAAAACACTGTCTGCATTTCATCTAATTGTATAATTATGTCAATAATGTGTAATGAGCTAATCTAGAGGACCTGGATTTATACAGCATCAGTAGTCATCACAGCATCCTAATTCAGCTGGAGAGGCTCTCACTGCTGCATTTCCTGAGTTAACATTTCTTCATGAAGCACCAGGTGAGGAGCGAAGCACAGGACCCAACATTTGGCTTTTCTATATCTGCCATGTTGTCATCTGGCCACTCTTCCTGTTGCAGGTATTCTGTAGAGAGAAACAGGGACACAGTAGCATCATTAGAGACACCAGCGAATGTGGTTTTACAGATAAAAGCCTGTTGTCTGAACAAACTGAAGTCAGTGATTTTAATGTTGTAATCGACACCGTTATGTTCAACCCGACCAGAAAGGAGAAAAATAAAAGGATTAGTGATTTATAGGTTTTATGAGCAGAAACCACAGCCAGCCCTGGACCCTGGGAAGTGATCTAGAATAGTTTTGCATTAACAGTGTTTTTCATTTGCAGCTACTTTGTCCATGCTGTTTATAAGAAAGTGAGTGTGAGCAGCAGCCGGGCTGATTCTGCTGAGGCTCAGCTAAATGTCTCCTTCTATCACTGAATAAAGTGACTGTGGCTTCAAAGCAAACTCTGGTTTCATTTCCTCTTTCTTATACGTACACTTCATGCAGTCATTTCCACTGGGAAAGCACTTCATACCACCTATTTTAAAGAGTTTTATGTGCTTATTATATGAAGTCCACACAGATGCAGGCTGATGTTGTGACACACTGCAGCTCCTGCACATGTAAAGTCTTGGACAGGATGTTCAGGTGTCATAGAGGAGTTCTCCAGCTCATAGAAGACCACAGATTCAACTGTCTTTCATCACTAAATGGACCTTTGTGCTGCTTTAGACAGATGTTGGTCCAACAGTCAGTGTCATCGGTTACACTGCTGTCTATGAGCACCACCTCAGACTTTTTAAAGGTCATGAAAACTCTTCCTTCCATGTGACATAGTCATAGACATTTAGGTTTTGGCCCGAGTTGTTTTTCACTAGCTTGACTCCATGCTGGTAGATTTACATGCAAACAGAATCAGAGCGTCACTCCAGAGAGCCTCGCTGCCTCCGTGGCTCGTTTTCACTTATTTATGAGGATGTGCTTCACACACAGTCTACAGGCATCGTCTGAAGAACTGTGACCGTTGCTCACGTTCAACTTTAGCTTAACAGTAAAATCGTTCCCTATTTTTAATAGGTTTGGGGAAACCATGTTTCAGAAAGGACAAGTCCTTTAGTTTCAAACTATATAGATGTGAAGAAGTTTAAAGGGAATTAAACTATTTGGATCTTATTCCTGAGTGAAGGGGTCGCACATGAACTCCCACAAATCAGAACCGTGTGGCTATGCTACCTCCACCACATGTGGTTTGTGTTTCCTCTGCTCCTGTCACTGCATCGTGATGGAGGCCATGTCCCAGAATACGAGGAACCAATCAGGCTTTCACAACTTTTGTTTGTTCGTTGTTGGTCAAATATAACCATACTACACACACACACACACACACACTGATGATTAGCTTTTAATCAGCTTTAAACTTAACATATTTGATTATTTATTTTCCAAACAAATGCTCCATCGTACAGAGCCACAAGAAAAATATACCAAAACAAACGTACATTTGTAGAATAAAGTGTTCAAGTGGGATGTAGTTGTTTTTAGACTGATAAACCAGTTTGTTGTTTTCAGTGTGTTCCTACTCGTTATGCATGATGTAGTGTTCCGCTCACTGTTGTGTGTCGTGTGATTTCCCTTCTGCTGTGCACCGTCCTGACACAACCAAAGCTCTGCATCTACACTCTGATCAATGTCACCTTCTGAACAAACCATGTTTCCAGACTGAATCTACAAGTTGGTGAAGTAGCAGCGACCAGTCACATGGCCGCGGTGGGCCGCAGTGAAAACACATTAAAGGGAAAGCAAAGAAAAGCTTCTTAATTTCAGGCTGTTAATTAATTTGTACATTTGAGCGTTTGTGTCTTTAATCTTACTGTTCATAATAACAGCAGACATATTTTCACCTGTTGATCGTAGTTCTTTGTTGAAAGCGGTGCTTTGAAGCAGAACACAGTCCTGTGAATGGAACCACATTTATCTCAATAACGTCTCCTTTGCTTCATGTCTATTGCAGCCAAACCCGCTTTCAGGCACATCAGTGAAGCTTTGCTTTCCACTAAGCACAAGGTTTCTGAATTTTCCAATGTTCCTTTCTCCTAGGTCATCTTCAGGAAAGGTGAGCCCAGAGAGCGTTCGTTCAAAGGCTTCCCCATCAGAATCATCTGAAGATAGTCATGACCAGCGTGGAAAGAAACCACCCCCAAGCCCAGGGAAGAAGGAGGAGCTATCACTATACAAGAAGACCAAAAGAGCAATAACAAGCAAGAAGTACACCATCTCCAAGCATGAAGCGGAGGCAACCACACCCATTGAACTCATCAGCCGGGGCCCAGACGGACGGTTTGTCATAGATCCAACTGATGCAGAAATGTCTGTCAAGCCCCGGCGAATCGAGGGCTTCCCCTTTGTGGAAGAATCAGATCTCTATCCTGAATTCCGACAGTCAGACGAAGAGAATGACGATCCCAGGCCTCTGCCACCAGTTATGGCCCCCCTTCGGCCTCACCAGATTTCCCCAATCTCAAGTCAGGAATCTTACCTGCAACCTCCAGCCTACAGCCCTCGTTTCCACAGGCCCTTCGAAGGTATGACCATCATGGAGAGCAGTCGGCTCCAGGCCACAGGGCAGATCCGAGGTTCTCTCCACCACAGGGCTTTCTATGGCTATCTGGGCCCCCCTGGAGATCATGATCCTCCTCCTCCTTTTTACATGCCTGATACCAGCCCTCTCAGCTCCGTCATGTCCTCCCCTCCATACCTTGCTGAAGGTCCTTTTGGTCACCCCATGATTCCTGAAGAAATGGGAGAGGGTGATTTTCCACAGTATGCTGTCTCTGGTTTCCCCCTTCCTCTGACCCTCACCTCCTCCTCTCGGTCACCGGAGATCTGGCAGGGACTGGATTTCACCTTTGCAAGTCTGGAGGGGCCCCAGTTCATTTTTCCACCGCATCACCCTTTGCATCTCCGCCACGACTCCCCCTACCCCCCTCCGCCTCATGTTCTTCCCCTTAGTGCTTTTCAGCCGTCCCCCCTTCCAATGCCCACCTACCCAGCTGTCCTGCCACTGGAAGCCCCAAAGAGCCATTCAAGCAAGTCTCCCAGCAAGGTCAAGCCTCATGGCTCCCCAGCCAAGCATTTAGCTATGCAAGAGGCACATTTAGGGCAGCTAAGACACACAAGCCACGGTATGGGTGTGCCAGTTTTGCCTTACACCGATCCAATGGCCCATATCGTCCCTAGCACATTCAGTAGCTTGGACACGCGATGGTTTGAAACCACCCCTCGTTTCAGCCCCAGACAGGCTCGTAGGATGGATCCCGGCATGCAGCAGGTGGTTCTCCAGCCCTCTCGACTCTCACCGCTCACCCAAAGCCCCCTTAGCTCTCATGAGGGTTCCCCAGAGATTGTAGTGCGTCCCAGGCCACGTCCCAGCATCGTCCACCCTCCCATACCCCCAGAGATGTCTGAGATTACACTCCTCCCTCCTTCCACAGCCAGCTTCTCCAGGAGATCTTCCCCTTCCTCCTCACCTGCCCTAGGCCAGGGTAGCAGGAGAGCAAGCCCCAGCTACCGTTCCCACATGGCCTTTGCCACCTCTGCAACCAGCTACCCAGCTTCCCAGTCCCCATCACCCCCCATGGAAAGCAGCAACATATTTGGGCAGATGCCATCTCAGAGGAGGACTGAGGAGGAGATCCTTCCATCTGAGCCCTCTCCACCCCAGTTGTCAGCTTCAGGGTAGGTCCATTAGGCATGCAGAGAGGGATACCATTTGAGTCATCTGCCCCAACCCATAATGCTTTGATGTGTGAAGTTGCTCTGACATGTTGGTCACTGAAGTGCTGTCTGATATCCATCAGTTTTTAAAATCATCTCTGTGGCAAATTAGCTCTGTAGCTTAGTTTCTGCTTCTTTCATTTGACTACACTTCATGAAAAATGACCAGTGTATGGTTGAAGGAAACCATTTTGTTGTGATGATTCATTTGGTGAACGCTGGAAGTTTGCAGTTTAGTTTCAATTGGTCAATGCTGCTTTTCATGTCAGACATCAAGTTGGAGGAATTCACCCAATGAATCTGTGAAGCATTGTTCCAAAACCATCACTGAGAAAAACACGAAGCGTTTTTCAGTGAAAACATCAAGAAGTTAACTAAATTCCAAACAAGACCAATTACATGCTGAATTGAAAGACAATGCATTCGCTTCACAGATTCTGTTTCAGACCTTTACGGGCTACAGTGAATGAAGTATACCATGGCCTGTGCAGTGTGTAACTTGCTTGGCACAAGCCCCTAAAAGCCTGGGAATTTGCAGATATCACTCAAGGATCCCTGTTTTTCCATCTGTTATCATGCGTTACCCTGCTTTCACCTAACAGGAGGAATCCTAAAATATTCATCCAACTGATTCCCAGACAAAACACCCATTGTTATGTCAAGCTCCAAGCCTTTGAAGATGCCTTTATCATGCAGAAGGATGCTTTAAGAAGAGTCCATCTTGGCAGGCCCTGCGGCCCATCCTCAGCCTTAGTAACCTGATTGCATGACCAATTCTCCCTTACCTTCCAATCTCTCAGATTTTCTTCCTACCCTACTTCCCCTTCCCTTTCTTTAACCCTCGTCTCCCCAACCCCCTTAATTGCCTCCAGGTCACCCCCAGGTCTGACGACCAAGGAAAGGTTGTTGGGCAAAGTGTGTCACAGGGCCTGTCCGCTTCTCATGTACTGCAATGTCTCCATCATTATGAATTAGGGGCAGTGTGGTGGTTCTTGATGGCTCCTGGAGTCTTACCTGCTTTGTTTTTGATTGATCTCAGCTATCTGGGCAGCGTTGTTGTGACCAGGTCCTCTACACCGCAATAGGTAAGGGTTGGATCCATGTCTGAAAGGGGGGGGTTAGCAGGTGGGACTTTTTTGATCACCTCGTCCTTTAAAGGGGAATACAAGACTTTGAGTCTTTGTTTGATTTGTTCCTTCCTTCAGTCAACATGTGTAGTTCATTTCAGTTCTTTCCTTTTTCCTTTTTTTCAAAGTGGCTATGCATTTTAAGTTCTGCAGTCTTAAGTACAGTATGCATTCTGACAGATATGCATATGCCATCGTGTAGCTGATAGATCAGGTCAGATATGTATCACCAACATGATTTCATGCTTGAGTTGTTTGCTAACTGATTACAATCATAAGCAGATGTTTAATTCCCTAACTTGAACACCTAAGCACAGATAAATAGATCTCAGGTGTGCACACAAGTTATTCAACAGTGATCTCATCTAACTGCTAAAAATGTGTATTTATTCAAGCACATGTCTTGTACTTGGATCGTTGCTTGCAAAGTTAAATCCAGCAAAGCTAAACATTTGGTATGTGATACATTTTAAGATAGCATTTGGTGCAGAACATTCGGTTTGGACCAACTGGACTTTACTCCAACTGCATGGTTCTAAGAATCACAAACACTTTGAATGTGACTCCTGCTCACTGGCTGATTGTGTGTCATGGTTCAGACGAGCTCAAAGTTAAACGACTGCTGATGCAGGAACAAACTGCCTAAAGGTCTCCTGTAATGTGATAAGTTTTGACAGTATGCTGCAGTTTGGCAGCATTTAGTACAAGCTCAGCCCTCTGCAGACTTCTCTATTGATTTATCCTGATGAGGCTCTTCCTCAGCACCCAGATCAATGCAGTCCACATCCAGCTAGATGGTAGCATACCATAATTAAGCAGCAAGATTAATGGCTTTTTTCCTCAGAGTTCGCCTTTACTCATTTAAATTTCACAACTCTTCAGTGAAAATAACAAACATGATTTCAAGATCTCCTCATGACCATGGCCTGCTCTATCTGCTCTGGTCCCAGGTCCGTTCTGCTGCAGCTCAGTGAGACGAGTCCGGCAGGAGGACCATCAGGGTCTCCATGTAGAAAGATCTGAATTCATTCCCTTGTTCGCTCTAAATACTAAATACGTAGTCGAACTAAAGAACTGCTCGTCAAGACGACAGTTAGTTTGTGCATCATTTCCTCTTCCTCCCTTCAGCCCAGTAGTCAGCCATCTTTCCCACACAGCCCTGGTCCTCAGGATGGGATCTGTGACTGTGTGATCCTGTCTAATTTCCTACATGTCTCGACTGCTCAGGCTGCAGCTCTAGCCCAGATCTCTTTGCAGGCCCCTTTTCTCAGCTACTGCAGGCTGAACTAAGGCCCATAATGAGGTGCTGAGACTTTGCTATCAGCTGTGAAAGGACTGTGTGCTGCACACAGCAGACAGGCTCTGTTGGGGGAGCCTTTTGATGTGCCAGCAACATGGGGAATGAACACCTTTCCTCCAACTCACTGTTTGGATCCAGCATCCAGCAGGAAGTGAACATGAGCTGCTCCCAGTCCTCCTGGCCTCCTCATCCTCCTACATCTGATGATGTGTTCAGTACAGATTTGAAGGACCAGCCTCATCTGTACTTTGACTTCTGACCAGCAAAAATAATGAGCGTTTATTCAGTCATTCCTTCCTTTATCACAAACACCCAGCAGTGAGGTCCATCAGATGCATCGTCCCTGAAGTGGAGTTACATCCATGAGACAATAACAGAATCCAATACGCTGTTCTCAGCTAGTATGTGCACCAGTTTATGTTTGGTGTCTCGTCTCTTTTGTACTTTATGGATTATTAGAAGGTGTAATTATGAAAACCTTTAGAAAGTGGACTTCTCTCCACGTCAACATCCTTTATTCTCACATAAGTTTGTAGAAACGCTCTTAGCATTCTTCTCAAGCGTGACACATTGTGCCATTTATATTTGACAGATGCTTATATTGTGTGACACCAGCTGAAAATATTTTGAAGCAACAGAAATATTTTGTGAGATTGGCGTTGTGATGTCACCTGAAGCTGTGTGTCCACTGGGAGCCATCATTAACAGCTGCTTTTGTTTGTCCGTCAAGCAGGAATGCTGTTGCATGTTCCTGGCAGTGATGAAAGCTCAGCATGTGTTCAGTTCTCAGCAAGGACTTAAAAACATTACAGCTTTAACAAATAAATAAATGAAATGCATTAGATTGAGGGTTTGAGCAGCGACAGAGCAGCAGCAGGAGCCATGCAGATCACTTTCCACAGCATCTCTTTAGCCCAAAACTCTTCAGACAGATTCCTGGTGGACACATGGCCGTGGCTCCCTGCATAAAGCATCTGTGCATAAAGCATCTGTGCACAGCATGAATCAGTCCATTTACTGTAAATATACAACTGCACTTGTGAGTTTGGACTGCAGAACAGTTCTCACTTCCATGTAAAGCAAGTGTCCTGCCAAAGCAGCTTATGCACTTCTTGTAATCCTAAGGAACAAATATTTTGTAGAGGAGGGGCACATGGGGGGTTGAGGAGCCCCTTTTGTTGGAGTGAACTGCCCAATGAAGTGCTTCTGAATGTATTCCCCTTTAAAGTCGTGTTCCATGTGCAAACTGCCATGCATGCCATCGCTAAATATTGCTCTTCCGTTACAAAAACTAAACAATTATATGGATAAATTCTTGTTACATTTGTTGTCCTAGTGCTTCGCTTTTCTTTGGCTTATTTTTCATTATGTGACTGTTCCCGAGTAGTCATTTTCCCCTCCCGCCATCTCTCCCCCTGTCAGCATGGTGAAGCCCATTGTAGACAGTATCCATGTCTATGAACACATACTGATGATGCTTTGTTGCTCAGCTGTGATTCTCCCCCTCTACTAATGACGTTCGGTTTCTCTCTGCAGCCGCGGTGGGAAGATGGCCTCTCTGTAATGCTAATTGTTTTCTGTGCCTTGAGAGAACCAAGTGTGTGTTTGTGGCAGAAATCTGTGGGCTGCCGACTCATACGTGCCTCCATGAATGGGAGGCAGCTACGACATACATACCCCACACCAAGGGGGCATTTGCATCTGTTATTTTCAGAGTGGTAAATTTTTACAGTAAACATCCAACCTGCAGACGTATCAGTCTGGAAGTCTTTCTTCTTCAAAGTATCCTTCATTTAAAAACAAAAATGTTCCTCTGAAACCAACAGTGCAAGTCTTTCTCCGTGTCGTATCTTCTCCAGAACTTTCCTTGCTGACCTAGCCTACACCATGAGGTACACAGATGATTTCAGGGGTTGTGAAATACTTTGCTTTTCTTTGGATGATCTTTGGATCAATTTGAGCAAAACTAAATCTTAGGTGTCCCTGAAGGGCAAAGAAATTTCAAGGTGGACAATTTAAAATGCCAACTGGATTTCATTCTCTGAATTACAGCCTTTGTGGCTGTTGGTAAATCCAGATGACGTTCAACATGATGGTCAGTAAATCATGTTGCTCTTCAAACCTTTGAAAACAGAACCGGCGGCTGTATTTCAGAGTACAGCTTCAGGTGACTCACATTGATCCTCTGGCAATGTGCTGCACCTCTTGCTTAGCACGAGCAGTGCTGTTCTGAGGCTGTGTGGGTTTTGTTGCACTCCGTAGTGCAAGAACAGTGCACGGACCACGGTTGGCCTGGAGTTACCCGCCTTTCCCTCTCTCTCTCTTATTCATCCAGAAAACGTCGAGGTGCGCCGAGTGCCCTTTCGGGGTCTGAGAGGATTGATGCACTGAGATACCAACGTATTAAAAAGGCCAAGAAGATGACGATAAACAACAATAACTCCAAGACCAGAAAGAAAGCAGGTATGAACCGTCCTCCTCTTTATTATCCCGTCTTTACACTTTGAACACTGGAGGTCCCTGGACCAGGACCAGGACCAGACTGGACCTGTCATTACAGCCCAACCTGCCACTGGGCCTGGTCGGTTCATGCCCGGTTCTGCTGTAGCCTTTTGTTTTCCATTTCTGTTGTTTGGTCTAATCTGGCAGTTTGTAAAATAGGTTCAGGATCATCAGCGTCACAGATTCATTGTCATGTTATTTACACTCTAGTTTGGGCAGCAGTTAAAACAGCAGTTAGCGCTGAAGTTTAGTTCAGTCTCTGTCTGCCCTGAGCGAGGAGGAACAGGAACAGATTGGTGTCTGTCATCGTACAGCCGGAGGTTGTTCATGTTGGTCTCACACCTCTGGAGCTGGTACTGACTGAATCTGGAGATTGAAGAACAGCTGAGGGGGTGAAGCAGAGATGTGTTTTACAACCTGATGATTAACTCACGACTACTGAGAATGAAGGCTGGATGCTCTGCCTGGAGGCTGGACGTCTCCAAAGGATGAAGTTGCACAAAACACTTGGCAGAAAGGTGAAGAGTCACGTTTTCATTCCATTTGCCGAAGCATGAGACAGCAGCTGCTGTTTCTGAGTGTTGGTGACGTCCTGTTTGTACTGGTCCGGTCCAAACTGGGCTGTGAAACACGCTCTGCATCTGTCAGGAACACAACAGAAGCCAAACCCCAGTGGGATTTAGTGACACCGCGTGCTGGTTTGGCATCTTATAAATATTAAAAATTGATTTACATTTTTAAAAAGACAATGCAAGAGGGGTCAAGCTGTCCTGACTGGTGCCGGATCAGTACCACTGGATCCCACACTGTCCACAGTCAGCACAAGAGCATCTGAAGTGATGCAGCAGCAGTCAGTGAACGCACCACGGTTCATACAGCTTCAGCCACTTAGCTGCAGATCAGGTCGCCAACTTCAGGTCAGAACAATAAAGTCTGTGAGACTTTTCAGCACCAGGGAAGTGTTCTGATTGCATCTTTTAGTTTTATCAAAGTGTCAACACGACTTTGAAGAGAGCTCTGTGTGGCTCACTGACCTGCTGAGATCATGTCTGTCCATGTTGAATCTGATGAAGACACAGTGGTGGAGAACATTCAGTCTGTTTGGACGATGAGAGGCTGTGAATGAGGTGGTGTGCTCCAGCCTGACCTGAGAATCCTTTTTCCTCTGGTTGGTTAAACTCTGAGAACAACAAGCGCCATGTTTTCCCCTCTGAAAGCCTTCTGGGTAACATCACTGTCTTAAATGTAACATTCAGCATATAGACAACAATAACAAGCCTCCATTGTTCTGTTTCCTACATGCTGATAAAGCTGGACCTCCAGCCCAGTTTGGAGGCCGGTCCTGTGAACATTCAGGCCAACTTGCATCTGTGACAAGTTCCTGATGTGGAAGGTCAACAGCTGTCTGCAGCTGCTACTCATGAGCATCTCGTGGCTCCACTCAGCACTGATCTGATCACTTCAATAGGATGATGTATAACCTGCAACAGCAGGAGGCCAGAAGGTAGCTGCATGGTTCTCCTACAGCAGGATGATGTCGTCTGTCAGGCAGCTCTAAGATCTGCTCGTCATGTTATTATCAGGTAGGAGGTTAGAACGGGTTGGTGTTTGTATTCTGTTATATTCCAAACAGTGGAACATCCTGAGACAGCCCAAGTGTTTAGTTCTTCACCAGATCCCACCAAACCACGGCTCATTCAGGCAGCTGCACTGCTCCAGACCGTCTCCATGTGGGCCTGGCTTTGTTGCTATGGAGCAGGCTAACTATTCAATAAAGATCAATGTGAGATGTTAAAGTTTGATCTGATATTTCTAAATGACTTTTATGCCAAAGAAGCAGAAGTTGAACTTTAGGAACCGTCTGTGGTCAACCTGGAGGTACCACCTGATGTTCTGACCTCCAGCCTGCATCAGGTCTCTGCCCTGAAGCCTTTTGCAGCCTGACGCTTTGCCGTTTGAGCTGCTCATGAAAGTGGATGTGTGACAGCTCTGAGGAACCACAGCTGGAAGTGAAAAACAAAAATGGAAGAAACCAAAAACATTGGGTGTGCCACATCAGATTAGATCAAGAACTGCTCATAGATAAGAACCACTGTGGAGCGAGCTGTCCTCAGAACATGCTGAACGCTGTGTTTAGTTTCTGTGGCTCTTGTTGTCTTTTAAAGGTCCGATATTGAGCCCCTTCAGAGCAAAGTGTTTAAAGTCATACACGTTCCCAGAATGTGCTCCAAATACCACAAAGATGGCTTCAGACTGTGTGACTCTGTTCCAGCCCTGATGTTTCAGCGCCTCCAGCTGTTCATGCTGCTGAGCTGCTGCTCACGCCCCCTTCAGGAAGAAGACTCTCTGTGCATCAGTGATGGACAGAGCGGTCGACACCAGGGCACCTGGTGTAGAAAGAATGAGTGTGACAGCAGGGGATTCTGGGATTTCTAACACGTGATCCGTATCTAGACGCTGACAGCTGATCCATGAGTCTTTGCATTTAAATCTTGTGTTAAAATATTTTCTTGCATTTTGATTCATTGTGCAAATGGACGAGGCGAGTCCTGGATCAAGAAAACCAGGACTAAGAATGATGTCATTCACTTGTAAATACCTTCTTCTAGGTCAGCTCGTGCCACTGCTGGGAGCTTTGTGTTGCTCAGTCTTGTATGAACTGCTTTTACACATGTGCTCCGCCACAAACATGCATCCATCTATTAATACTAAGACAGATATAATAAACCAGATAACGTGTTCAGGTTAGATTGTAATGGTAGGTGTGACAGATACTGTAGACTTTGTTATCTTCAGACAGATCCACTGTTTAGTCATGAACCCAGAAACCTGGAAACACAACCACAACCAGAACTTTGGATACATCCACCACAGAACTCCTTCAGTCTCTCTCTGTGCCCTGGTTCAGAAGTAACAGCACTGCTTTAGGGAAGGATGGTGGTAGAACAGTCAGTGGGTTAGAAGTGCCAGTAAACGTTGCCACTGCTAGTTGTGGTGGCTGTGACCTGCCTTTCCATCTGTCCTCCTCCAGGTGTCTCCACCTCTCAGACCCAGCAGGCCTACACCTCTCAGGTACTCCAGCCCGAAGAAGCTCTCTACCTCCGCAAGAAGAAGAAACGGCCCATCCTCCATGACCCATATACTCGCTTTTCTGCTCTGCTGTACCGCCGCCCACCTCGGGAGGACCAGAAGGCTATTTTGGCGAGCATGGACAACATAGACCTAGACCATGCCACCCTGCTCTGAAAGCCCGTGAGGATGAGGTCGTGCAACACGCCACCCCGTTCCAAAATCAAACTGCAGCAGCTACATCCCAGTGGGTAAAACAACACGCTCACTTTATAGATGTTTGCAGTTTATTATTGGCGAAGGGGAACTTCTCTAAATGTCCTCATTCAGATGTGGTGGTTCTGTAGCTACAGCCTGGGTCACTTCAGTGTGCATTAGTGTGTTCTCTGATGTGTTGATGAGACACCTGGATGACCACATGTGAAGAGACCAAGAAATCTGATCAAGAATCCTTTGAACAAACCAAACGTATTGTTTTAGTAAAGACAGAGATTAAAGTGTTGGTCTCAACAAGGTCATCAAACCACAGCATTGGCACATCTGAAGTGTGAGCCAGAGTTCTGGCTCCTCTGAAAAACTCTGGATTAAGTTCTGATTGGGAAGCCCGAAGGCACAAGAACGCTAAATCCAGTCGTATTCCCTTTAAAGAAGGAAATCGATTCAAATCCAAATGATAGCTCTGCCACTCTTCTAAAAGTTTTACTCCAGTGCAAAAGGTTAATTAAAAAAGTAGGCAACACCTGATTACCAACTCCCATTTCTCCCATTTTGTTTTTGAACCCCTGTTTCCGACCCAAAGTCAGCATCTTTAATTAGAAAGCCTTCTCCCGGCTCGGGTCAGGGTTCTTGTGCTGAGCAAACTCCCCTCACCCCCAAAGACAAAAACCAAGTAAAAACCTGAGGGCCTCCGTTTACAGCACCTGGATCATCTCCGCCAGCAGCGTCTATTGTCTCCAGAGAAACTCGCCTCACAGATATGGGTGTTCTTACTTCCTACCACTGATACCTCAGAGCACAGGACACGAAACCACACAACCACCAGGATCAGCCAGCAGAACAAACTAGCCTCTCTCCTCATTGCTTTTCTTATCACATGATCTACTGGTGCAGTTCTGTTTTTTTAAAGGTTGCACACGTTGAGCGTTTAGTTTCTGTGCAGAGCGACGGTTCTGCTGCTCTGTGCTCCGTGATCAGGACAAGGGCTTGTTGTTTAGGGAGTGACAGAAAGTCAACCTTTAACTCCTTTACTTGGCCTGATTGTGGCTGTCTGTACGTCTGCTTTCCACACACCGGCTTGTTTCTTTGCCAACACTTAAACGCAGTGACTCAGTTCCAGTAATGTGGCAGAAAGTCCTTGTGTTCAGGCTGAAGTCAAACAGCTGCTCCAATCAACAGGGCTTCAGCCTGAGCTGCTCAGATCTCACAACTGTTTGCACTGGAGCAAAATCTTGTCCATTTGCTGTTGCTTTACATCTCCTTCTCCACTTCTTCTACTTTAGGTAGCTTAGAGGGCTCCAAATCCTATTCAGAAAGTCATTCACAAAGCCACTCAATTGAAGAACAGAAACCAATCACACGTAGTGGAGGACAGGATTTTGTGCCATAGTAGAAACACACCGGCTTTCTTTGGCCTTAATGGAGCTTCTGGTTGGTTGCCTGCTGAACTTGTGTCAAATTTATGTTTATTTCCAATAATTTATTTTTATTTGTGTGTGTGTGTGTGTGTGTGTGCGCGCGTGCGTGTGCGTGTGCGTGTGTGTGTGCGTGTGCGTGTGTGTGTGCGTCTCTTGATCAGTTCCTGTTCATGTGCTTGTCATTTGAGGTGCCGTCATCCTGGAGGGGACAGTATGTGGCATTAAAGGCACCACAACCCGAGCCAAACGGTTTCTTTGTATTCTCCACTGGTACACACAGTTTGGTTTGTTTCCGGTGACTGAGAGCGTCACGTTGCTCCTGTTTAGCCTGACGTGTACGCTACGGGGCTAGAGATACACTTTTATTTATGATTGGACGAGAAAAGCAAGTGCCATAACATCAGAAGCTCAGCTGAACATCTGTGCTCACGCTGCTGCTCGGTCACATCCCATCAGCCCGGGTGTGCTTCAACAATCCCACATCCTGTTGTGTTCTTTTGTTTACATCAAAAGGTGCTCAGTGACGTCAGAAGGCGTGTTCCCGTGTAGATGTTCCCGTAACACGCGTTGCCACATGAGAGAAAGCGTATCTGGAGCGGTATATCACTGGTGATGTGCGTTTTTTTGTGTATTTATTTCTTTATTTGTGCACATTTTTTATTGTGATTTTGAGCTGCAACTCCAACACGGCCTTCTTAAATCAGCCACATTGCAAGTGTCTCAATTCGGTTGCTTGGTTAAGATATTTCCACAATAAATGCTTCCAAAAACAAAAAAGAAAAAGCAGTATCGAGGTCTCGGATCCGATTTTTAAACTGCAGCAGGAGTGAAGAAGCGACGTGCATTTATTTCCATTTGCATCTATTTATGGATTTAACAAAGCAGGGAATGCCTCTGTAAGTACTTTACATGTCTTTTGAGACTAATCATCACACATTATTAGATGAACAAAAATAAAGTAGTGTTTAAAAAACCAGGAGTCCTGCTGACTATCAGCCACATCCAGAACCCTGGAGCGCTGATGAGGGCTGCTGGGTCGTGAAGAGCAGCAGCGGTCTGAGTAAAGAAGCTAGTGCCTTTATTTATGACGACATGATCGTGTCTGTAATAATGCACTTATTGTGGAAATACAGTTTATAAAATGTAATGTTAATATCTGTAACAAATGTGAAACCACAATCTATACTTCCAAAGACAATACAAAAGATTCAGTGAGAATGAAGTGGCATCAGGTCATCAGTATGAACCCACTGGTGTTTATCCATCCTACCAACGAGCTGCTGCCCACCTCTGTGGGTCTAAAGGACCACATCAACCTGAACAGGGATGCAGAGCTGTGCTTTGCTTTGTAAGGCACTAGCTGAAGTGATGCTGACTGGGCTCTATCAGTGACGAAGCCATCCTATCACAGGTGCTTTAGCAGCAGTGTCAAACAGAGGCTCCCTGTGGCAGCCTCAGGTGCTAAGCTAACCAACCACGGAGCGCTCCTTCCTTATCACACGACAAATGCCACTTCCATTTTAAAAGCTGAGTGATTGCTGTATTTTTGTATTTTTGATATAAAAGAAGAGGCTGTTGGAGTGGTGGTTGGATTCAAAATCACACTGAAAGAGAAACGAGGGACTCTTCTTCCATGAAGCCTCTGTGACGGCAGCAGTCATGTAGAGATATCACAGAAAGCTGCAGGCGTCCTTCAGATGTGTCATTTCGCCTCGTAGCTGTTGAATATCATTGTTCTTCGGCCATCTGTCGTGTTTCTAATGGGTGGAACCAGAAGAAGAGTGCCGCGGTTTCCTTTCAACAGGACATTTTGCTTTGTTGAATGTTCCACTCCAGACCGTGTGATGTTGGTGCTGCTGGGGTCCTGCTGAGGGAGCGGGTGGAGCGCCGGGTGGAGCGCCGGGTGGGTGAAGGCCTCTGGAGAGGACAGAAGCCGTTGCATGTATGAGTGTGTGTGAGGAGGAAGGTTCAGACATGGAGGATAGGTGTTAACCAGGACTGTGACCACGATAGAGGACATGACAACACGCTGCTGTGAGTTGGGTTTGGGACGACGTCAGTGACGGCTTTTTAACTCATTTTTAAAATAATGGAGCTGATGTTAGATCAGCTCTGTAAAGAGTTTAAAACAATCTAACTGCATTAACAATAACCATATCTTGTAATGTACATATTGTACCAACATATTCGTATCTATCATACTGTTTTGTTGAGGAGTTATTCTACTATATGACCTGTATGAGAGAGCCTGACTGACTGACTCACTTTGCCAACTGAACACTTCCTGAAATTTGTAGATGTAATTAGTCTTATATATTGTAAAATAAGAAATGGCATATTTTATTAAAATTGGTCAATAATATGCATGCAGTTAGAGAATAATTAATAAAAAACTATATTCCCTTTTCCTTTATTTCCACGTGGAGATAGTTTGTATGTAGATGCTGCTGTGACTCTTCCACAAAGCCAGTCCATATTTAAAGAGTTTCCCTCAGAGGACGCTGGAGGTCCAGAAACGCTGTCTGGGGGAAACCACATCCAGAACAGCACCAACGAAACACCAAAATGCACTAACATGGTGTGCACATAGTGCCGCTTCGGTGGTGGATCTTTATTTTTTAACATTTATGTTGAGAAAACCCTGAAAATGCAAAGTTCCAGGAGGCGAGAGGCGGAGGAGGGTTGTAGCTTTATGAGAGCGAGGACGGAGTGAACTGGGTGGGCGACATCTGCCTCAACAAAGAAGTACTGTATACCTGTCCATGTGCCACACAGGAGCCCGTCTGTGTTCAGAGTGTGTGTGACAGGCTGCATGGTGTGAACGCTGCTGATCAGCTGCTACCTGTGAGGAAACATGGCAGCAACGCTCCTGCAACGCTTTAAAGCAAACACCAGTGAAAGGTGTTCAGCTGCAGAGCTGGACTGAAGCTTTCTGTGAACGCTGTGTTCCAGAGGTTAGCCTTATGCACAGCTAATAACTCAACTCCATGTTCCCACGTGGACCCGTACAGGAGTTCTGATGAAAGCAGCTGCATGAGTTCAGTGGACTTCAGCCTTCACAGCGGGTTCTAGTTGATCTGTGATGAGGACGGCTCGTCTCTGATGCTTTTATCATCCGTGTCCCGCTATGGAGGGCAGAAAATAAATCACGTGTAAATAACTAAACACACAAGTATGTAGATCAACACACACACACACACACACACACACACACACACACACATCTATGTAAAAGATCTATATTTTGATAGAAATGATCATTTCTATGTTTCCATTCATCGCCTCCTGAGTGGGTTGTTTCTGTTTTCCTTCATTTCTTTATTCTTGTGTCTGTCGGAGGGAGCCGGTCCGGTCCGGTCCGGTCCGGCTTCAGACCGCGGACCTGATCTACATACAGACTAAAACTAACGCTGTTCATTTAGAGATACAGTAATACATCATTATTTCTGCATGTATTTAGTTATTTATACCCCAGTCGGTTTCCGTCCTCCATAAACCACCTGCAGCGTCAGTAAGAAGGAACCCGTCGGACCTGCTGCTCTGTCAGAACGCAGTCAGACGTGTGTAAATGTAGAAAACTGGAATCTGTGAAATCAGAGCTCACTCGGCCGCTGACGGTGCTCTGGGACGACCAGTTGGTAGAACGGTACGAGACCCCGTGAACTAGAAGAGTTTTTATCATTCATTAAAAGGCAATGTGTAAAACATTGTCATTACTGTATCACTGGACTCCAGCTGAGGAGGTCTGGAGCAAGGCTTAGCCAGCACGTGTCCAGCAGGCTGTTGGTCCACATGCTGACAGAGAAGCTCTGGTGCTATCACATCACATCTCTGACTCCATGGACCATGTTTAGTTGCTCAGATGCTGTCACTGCGCCCGACACCAACAGCTGCTGCTGTATTTCCATCATTCCCTCCAAAAACAGAAAAAAACAGAAAAAATGAAAAAGGGAAACAAACAACTTTTTGAACCAAAACGAGTGATTTACACGCGTGTTGTGATGATACGTGTGAATCACATGTTCATGATGTTTTGCTGCAAACTGATCCATCGATGAAACGCATCACGAATCACGTCTCTGTGTTTGAGGTGAAATAACAGCTCACAGGAAGCTCCGGCTAACTATCAGGAGGTTATTATAGACACTGTCAGACTCCTCATGGTGCATTTCTTTTTCTTTTTTTCATTCAAAAGCCTCCTGTAAAGGGGACAAACAGTAACAGCAGACAGACGATGGTGTTTTATTCAATGGGCAGCAGCAGCAGCAGCAGACACATGCACTGAGCAGAGACGTCACCTCCACTAACCTGGACACGTTCTGGACGCTCAGTCCAAACAGGTGTTGTCGCCGTGCAGGACAAGCAGATGCTCAGAGTGAGCTATCATCACATCCTGTCCAAACCTGAGCCGACAAAAACAGCGTCACAGATTTGAGATTCTTAAAAAAACAAAGGTTTCGTTAACACCCTGTAAATAATCTCTAAGTGAGCATACCATATATATAAATATGATCTATTTTGTAGATGAACTATGATGCACATGGTCTGTGCTGATGACGGAGTGGGATCTGAGTAGTGTAGGTCTGCTTCAGCGACGCATCATAGCCTGACGTAGCAGACCAGTGTCTATATGTGAGTGATGGAAATCTTCTACATGCTAGAAATTAGTTTAAGAATTTAATATGATAGCTGCAGGAAATTTAGAGAAAAAAATGATATATCTGAATAAATATACATAAATATATATATATATATCTCTATATTGTCATGGAACCACAATGGTTATATGAGTATCTATATTTGGGGACAGTACTTGTTTTAAAGAATGTATAAGTCTATATTCTATTATTTTTATATCCATTTGTTGCTTTCTACTGTAGCGACGCAGAATCGTACACAACGTAGAGAAACATGGCGTCTGTCTGAGCTGTGCGCTTGTGTACAGAACAAAAGAACAAGGTGCACCAAACTGTACTGTATATGTCCACCACACAGACTCAGAGGAGGACACAGCAAACTAGTTTTTATAGTGACGTCCATTTGGTGTGAATAGCAAATGTACCTGTTGAGTTCTTTGTGGGCGTCATCTCACCTCGCTGCTCATTTATGCTTTAGGGGACCAGAGTTTAGCTCCTCACTGGGTTATGATGTGATTTCATCTCATTGTTTTAGACAGGCTGGCTTCACTGGCAGTGTTCTCTGAATATGCTTTGGCATGAATTTAGACTTGTTTTTTTTCCCCTTTACTATGGTGCTCCTTTGCAATCTGTATCACAGCAGAGCACAGAAATCTAAATGTATATTCATCACATTCACCACCTGTGCAGATAGATGATGTTTGACAGCGTATATTTACAGTGTGTGTGTAGGAGACGCCGTGCTTCGTGATGCTGCTTTGAACTGACGTGTGGAGGATTCAGACGTTTGATTGGCTGTGAACTGAAGCATGTGCCAGGTGAACGTTTGCTGGCCTTCGGCTCCGAGCTGGAGGCTGAACGTTCCTCCAGACATCCGGTTCAGTGCTGTACATTGCCAAACAACAAGAAAACAAGAAAAAACTACAAACACGTGATATACATTCTGACAACTGGTGCTATTTAATAACATCTGTGGTGCTTTTCTTAAGTTAGTTATTTCCTTGCTTCAGACAAAATGTAGCTACACAATCCTGTACTGTACTGTAGGTTGCTCTGCGGCCGGGCCTCCACCTGCTTCACACCTGTGTCAGAGGGTTTTTCTTCGACTGCTGTTGTTTCAGGGAATACACGGATCTCACTGGACTAACATTTGGAGTTGAAAAATTTAAAGCAAGGAAATTAAATAGGACATTATTTTACATACGCATCAAGTTTCCTGGACTTTGTTTTGTTGTTGTTGTCGGTCTGGACTTCACACATTGTGTTTGGTGCTGAGTGATCAGATACGCTCACCATGAATTTATCTTTAAAGGTGGTCTGTTAGGTCAAGGAAGCATACTAGCGCCCCCTACAGGTGCACTTCATGACTGGTGGTCGGTCAAATCAATAGGTTTGGTTCCTCTGTGGCCAAACTGCTCCAAAAGCCGCCACCGGACGGTGCCGCCTGCAGCGTTACTGTGCTCGAGGACCACATGAAGCATCTGAATACTGTTTTGTAAAGACGCTGCTTCAAACTAGTCACACAACTTTTTGGACGTACAACACACGAGAAGTTTAAATTACATGTTTTGTTTTTTCATGACAAAATGCAATACAATTAGAAGAAGAACAAACTGGACTCACTGTCTCCTCTTAGCTGTTTGGTCTTCCTGAGATGTGCAGAACTGGTTTAAGTTTCAGTCCGTCTGGAGAACAACATGTTAGTTACAGGTGTAGACAACTCAGTACCTCAAAACGTCTCTTCATGGAAACCTTCAGTCCAGATGTGTCACCTCTGATTTGTTTCTGATGTTCTCCACCTCTCAGAAGTCCGTGCTCATGATGCTTTTTATATTTGTTGGCACAAACACTAACAAGAATGTATGGCTATGGTAATCCCTGCTCACCCCCACTCTTCCTACAAACTGAAGCTTTTAAAGCAACTAAATTGAACTGTCAGTTTTTTGTATTTCAAATGTCTTGGTATGCTTGTTGTAGTTGTATATTCATAATGGTGTATATTACATCAGTTTTTATTTATTAAAATGTTTAAATTTTCTAACATGACTGTTGGTGTTATTGAGCAAAACGGTCCTCAGCATCTGAAGCACTTCACATTTTAGAAGATGAGGAGTTTGTTTCTTATCCAGAACTCTGGCTGCGTCTTCACTGGATCCGTCCCAACGGGTCGCAGAAGGAAGCAGAACCACTGTGAGGGAAAGGCTGTCAGGGGGGTGAAAGGTCAAAGCCTGAACACAATCAGTCAGGACTGGTTCAGATGTCCATGTAAATGGTAAACGGTCTGTAGCTCTTCTACACCACCTTTCTGCCTTAGTGGTGCTCAAAGCATGTCAGCTGCACATGCATGTACATGTACACGGCATGCTACATGCTACATGCTACCTACAGTAGCATCCAGAGCAGCATCATGTTATCCCACATGGTCACATGACCGCCTCAGCAATACGGTAAGACAACCCCTTCAAATAATAATCATAATAATAATTTTATTTGTATAGTGCTTTTCAAAAACTCAAAGACGCTTTACAGGATAAAAGAACAATAAAAGCAACGAATAGAAAAGTAGACGATGCAGAAATAAAAGCAAGCAGATAAAAGATTAAGATAATCCTCATGAGTGTGAAAACGTGCCGTATTCACTATTTAGCTCCTGCACAACAAACACTGCACTTTAATATCTGACCTGTTATTGACGCCACTGTGACTTGTCTAATTCTCTAATTCTCTATTTTATTTTATTTTTTCAGATTTGTCCTTTTATAATGTCTTATTGCTGTTGCACACTATTAGGAAACACCTCGCATTTGACTGTACGAGCACGTGACGAATAAAAGCTCCTTTAAATAACCGCGTTATGTTTTAGTTGACAGAGTTTCTCCTCTTCTGATCAATCAGAAAGAAATACTTCAAAAAGATTACGCTGAAAATTTAGGCCCAAAGTTGTACCTGAATCAGTAAAGTGTTGATAAACCTGTTCTCTCGCTGAAGCGTCACTCTTTCTCTCGCGAGATCATAGGTTGCTTAGCAACCACCGTCAACAGCTCCGCTGATCCAAACTCCGGCGCTGTGAGGACTGAGAGGACTTCAGAGGAGCAGCTGAACGCGGACAACCTGCTTTAAATCATGGAGGTGAGTTTGTCTCAGAGTCAGCTGGACGTTGAGCAGCGAGCACGTGACGCTGAAGGTCGTTGAAATGTTGGCGAACCTGGAGTTGCTGTTAGCATGTGTGCTAATGCTAACTTCACCATCTGTGGATCAAGGAGTCAAACACAGTCAGAACATTATGCTGGTAGCTCAGTTACACAAGCTGCTTCACTTCAGGTGAATTCATTTACTGCTGAATCACACCTGGTGGCCTCACATCAGACAGAGCAACAGGTGAAGCAAAAGGTGATCCTGATGTCATCTGGTTCTTCTGGGGTTTGTTGTAGTGAGAACATGTCCTCAGTGCAGAGTGATGGGCAGGTGGTGGAGAAGAATGTTCTCTACTGCTCCTGGTGTATGAGCAGGGTCTCCTGGGCCCAGAGTCCATCCATCATCTCTACACCTGAACCCTCACTAGGGGGGCGGAGCCTATCCCAGCTGACTCAGGGTGAAGGCAGGTTCACCTGGACAGGTAACCAGTCTATCACAGGGCTACACTTAGAGACAGACAACCAAGCACACTCACATTCACACCTACGGACAATTTACAATCACCAATTAACCTCAGCATGTTTCTGGACTGTGGGAGGAAGCCGGAGAACCCGGAGAGAACCCACGCTGCACGGGGAGAACATGGAGACTCCACGCAGGAAGATCCCGGGTGTCCTCACCGGGACGCCAACCGGCGACCTTCTAGCTGTGAGGCCACGGTGCTAACCACTGACCCACCTGCAACCCCAGAATAAACACATTTATTTTTATATTGTATGATTTGATCAGAGAGTTTTGCTCCGTTCTTCAGGCTGTGAATCTGACTTGTCACCAGGAGCTGAGTCTGGTCTGCTGCGTTCATTCTCACCACCAGACATACGTTCACCTGCAGTCTGCTGTATTTCAGGAGACAGGGTCAGAGGACTCTTCTGGCTCCTTGGATGAGTTCCAGATGGTCCTCAGTGAGCTGGTCGCAGACAAGAGCATGGACAAGATCCGGGTGGAGTACGAGAAGCTCATCCATGCACTGAAGAAGTCCAGAGAGAATGAGAAGAGGCTGATGTCCAAATGCAGGGAGCTGAATGCAGAGATTGTGTCCACTTCAACTAAAGTGGCCGCTGCCCTGAAACTGTCCCAAGAAGATGAGACAACGATAACGTCGCTGAAGAGGGTATGTTACTGCCACGTGTCGTATTCATTTCATTTGCTTGACTATAAACCTGCTCCTGCATCGTTTCAGACATGAAGCTTATGTCACACCTGCATGGTGTAACATAAGGAACATGAATGTGAGCTGATGGAGGAGATGTTTGGTATTAAAGGTATTCTGTCATTCCCCCTCTTTGATCCTCAGATGTGTTGATGTGTATGTTTTGTTACAGGAGCTGGATAAAGCTTGGAAAATGGTTGATGCTGCTCATGAAAAAGAGAAGAAGGACAAAGAGACCATCAGAGTTTTAAAGGAAGATATTTCCAACCTCACAAAAATGGCTGAACAACAAACGGCCTTGTCCAGGGACCAAGGACAGAGGTGTGTCGGCCGCCTGCAGCGCCCTCCGCTGTCCACACGGTGGCTTCAGTGGACGGGATTAACTCTGCTTTTCTTCTTTTGTTTTAGTGATCTCCTAAAAATGAATGAGGAGCTGACAAAGGAGAGGAATCAGCTGCTGTCCACGGTGGAGGGTCTGAGAGAAAAACTACACAAAGCCAACACAGCCCAGCAGGAGACAGAGGCCCAACGAGAGAGCGCCGCAGAAAACATCTCTCAGGTAAATACAGGACAGCAGTGGCTCCTGATGTCAGTCTAATACTGGGATCATTTAAGCTGCTGGCGGAAATACAAGGAGAATGAATAACTCACACACTGCCCGAGCTGCACAACAGGGCGGTGCTGGAGTCATTTATTCTCCCTTATCTACTAAATAAAAACTGTCATGAGGCTGTCAGTGATGAGAGAATCACTGTAAGGTCTTTATTTTGAACTCACTCAGCAAAGTTTAGCGTTTTTACATTTTACTGATGTTACGTATTAACTTGTGCACTCATGGCTGTTTGTAGTAATTCCTGGTTACAAAAACACAGCAGGGCTCCTGACCAATAAAGCAAAGCTAACTCAAGCTCCTCTGCCTGTCTGAGCCCAGCTCCAGCAGGAGCTCCAGGTACAACACAACGAGATTTCCCGAGAGATGAGGCTGAAGGAGAAACTGGACAAGGAGGTAAAGCAGCTCCGTATCGACATGGAGGCCAGGATGGGTGACATCAAAGCTCTGAATGTGCAGAGCCAGAAGGCCAAAGAAGAGCAGCAGAGACTTGAGCAGCAGCTAAAGGAGCTAAAGGTGAGCAGAGGGACTGTCCAGAGAAAACCAGTCACATCATATTCATGACAGGATGCGGTGGGCTGAACCTGGTGGCTGCGTAGCTCGTAGTCGAGGGTTCAGGGTGTTTCATGGAGATCATTTACTGTCTGGAATCACCTGTCACCTCTCCATATCCACCAGCAAAATGGACAGATAATTAGGTATGTGGTAATTAAAGCCAAATGTGTGGGCCACAAACACATTATCTGAACCTACAAAACAAGGTGGCTTCAGCAGAACCAGGAGGTACATCAGGACAAACAAAGGCCTGAACAGGCATCTCTTAGCATGTAGGATGGCTAGCATAGCATTCATGTGGAGAACACAGAGGGCTACTGAACATCGTTTCCTTCCCTGACGCTGACAGATCTTGAATGAGCGATCCAACAAGGAGCTGGAGCAGATGCAGGTGAAGAACTCCAAGCTGCAGCAGGAATGTGAGCAGCTCTCATCCGCCAAAGAACACCTCGGCCTGGAAAACCAACAGAATGCAAATGAGCTGAAGGTACATGGTTGTCAGCCAATACATGCGTCTAGGCCCTTGTAGAGCCACATTAGTGGAGCTCAGTGATCATAGATGATGTGACTGCTGGCTGGAACCACAAGGTGCCGCTGTTGAGACACTTTAACTAAAGAGTCATCAGAATGCATAACAAGCCAGATGTGTATCCCTGTCTGGTGGAGGCACAGCAGCATATGCCATCCACTCTCTCTTTCAACACCTGTTCCCCTCCCTGTGTGTTCGTACAACTCCAACCCTTCCACTGACCAGATGAGAGAAGAGGAGGTGAGTCAGATGCGTCAGGAGGTTGCCAAACAAATAAAGATGAGAGAAGCCATCCAGAAGAAGTTCCACCAGGTGGAGGATCAGAAGGCTGACGTGGACGTGCACAGGGAGACACTGAAAGCTCAGATAACTGCCCTGGAGAAAGGTAAGGGGATCTGATGCACTTAGACACTGACGTAAATGGATGTCTCCTGTATTCCCAGTCTGTGTTCCCCCCAGCGTTTAGTCCTGGTCCCTGTCAGCTCATCTGATCCCTTCTGAAGGGCTGATGAGATGGTGAACATGAACTTATTTTAACAACAATATCATGAAAAAATAATGATGTTAAACATGCCATATGTACGCATGTATGTTTCCAACACACACACACACACACACACACACACACACACACACACACACACACACACACACACCAGTTGCTTCTGTCCTTCTCTCTCTGCAGAGCTTGAATCGTCCCAAAAGCAAGTGGAGGCAGACAAGAAAGCTGTGGATGAGCTGATCCGAGAGCGAGACATCCTAAACAAGGTATCTGGTGCAGTTGAGGTTCTAGACGCTGTGCATAGTGATAGTTATGTAATTCAGCTGCTGCACAATTACAAGAGTAGCTGCTACAGAAGTGACCCAAAGAATCTTTATCCTGCTCTCTGTCCATCAGCAGCACATCAGCAACCACTTCTTTGTCATTTCTTTACAACAGTAAAAAACAAGTTTGTTGTAAACTGCAGTGTTTGTGTCTTGACTAAATAGACCCTAGTTTAACACTTATGTATATTTTCTAGTGTTCCTGGGTCTGTGTGTATCATCGAGGCTTGTTTTCTTTTGAAAAGAACATGATCAAAGCTGTGCAGTCGACCGAGAAACAGCAAAACCTGGTGAAGCTCCTTGAGCAGGACAAGAAGACCTTGGAGCATGAGATCAGTGGCTACCGTCAGGAGGCCCAGAAGCAGCGCAAGATCATCCAGCAGCTGGAGAAAGAGCGTGACCGCTACATCAACGAGACCAGCAGCCTCCTGCAGAAGGCAGGTTCTGCAGAGGAGCTAGCCGAGCTACAGCATCAGCCTGCTTGAGTTGATTCTGATATTACAGCAACATTTTTATCAACCGTGGCCTGACTGAGGGGAACTTTTCTCTCTTGCACAGGTTCAACAAAAAATGAATGATGTAGAAGTTAGAGAAACTGAGATATTTGACTGGAGGAAGAAAGTCACTGAGGCAGAGTGCACGCTTAAACAGCAAGAGAACCTGCTGGAGTCTGTGGTGGCTGAAAGGAACCTCTACAGCAAAAACCTCATCGAGGCTCAGGTGAGAGCAGCAGCTGGTCACCTGATAGCTGAGTTTTATTTCAGTCCTGTCATTCCATCCTTGTGTTTGAGTGTGTTTGTGGTTGAATTGGCTATCAGGTGGGTTTACTGTTGCATACAGCATATAGATTTATTGTTGTCATTTCTTTCTCCATTTTTCTTTTCTTCTGCTTCCTTTACTGTGTGTCTCTTAAACAGGAGGAGATTGCAGAGAAGAAGAGGAAGATGAAGACCATGAACAACCAGGTCACCCGACTGAGAGATGAGATCAGTGGGAAGGAGCTGGCCCTCGCCAAGGATCAGCAGGAGCACAAGCGCTTAGAGAAAGATAACGAGGCCCTCAAGGTAGTGAAATCTGCTCAGGATGTGCCTCTGATCTCATCATCATTTATTTAACTTGGAAGCTTCATGCATGTAGAAACGTCACATGAATTTGACTTCCACCACTGACTGACTTCAAAACAGACAAAGATAAAGATAAAGAGAGCCATTCTGGTTGTTTGTCACGTGTTAGGACGATCTGTTCCTGTCTGTGGTTTGTTGATTTTATTCAGCTTTGTGATGCATCATCTGTGATCTTAAGTCCATGTCAGTCTGCCATATCTGTAATTACCAACCATGTTTTGCCAAACTCAGAGGTCCTGTGTGATGACATCAACCAATGCAAATCAGCATCTCAGTGATTTGGGTCCTTTTTTTTATTTTTTGCAAGGATTTAAAAACATACGTAGTCTGTGTTGGCAGTCACAAATAAAAGTTTGGAGCGTTTTGAGTGCAAAGGACACTCGCTGTGCAGGGTGCAAAGCTCACATCTGTCAGAAGAACAGTTTCAAAGGATGATGAGGAGCAGCAAGAACATTTTGCTCAGAACAGGCTCAGAGGTTGTATGGCAGCATTCTAATATCTCATCCACGAAGAGGGTACATCCAGTAAATCTGAGTGTGGGAATGCGGCGTATGAAACTCAGATGCTGGGGTTGATTTTTCACCTTTAGTCCACAGGTGATGCTAGTTTCCTGTGAACAGGGCTGTACGTGGACGTTTCAAACCTGTGCACTCCTTCCTGTGTCCTGCAGGGGGAGCTGCAATCACTGAAGCTGCAGCTGGAAGAAACAAAGCAACGCGTTGACAGTCAGAGAGCAGAACAGCAACAGCTGCAGAAGATAATAGCTGATGCAGATGCTGAGCAGATGCAACAGAAGAAACAACTGGAACAGGTAAAGAAGCTGCACAGGACGAGGCAGAGACAGAAAGTAGACGGTGTGTGGTCATCTGTTGTTCTTTCAAGGTGAGCAGCGAGCGGGACAACCTGGGCAAACAGCTGCTGCATCGCAACGATGAGCGAGCACTGCTGTACGAGAAGATCAGGATCCAGCAATCCATCTTGAGCAAGGGGGACTTCCACTACAACCAGAGGATGGAAGACATCCGCCTGCTCAAGCTGGAGATCAAGAGGCTCCGACGCAAGAAGAGCATCCTGGACAAGACTTTGCCCAACACAGAGGACCTGAGGTAAAGAAAGGATCAGAATGCAGAGCGTAGCGAAGCAGAAGGAAGGCAGGATACAAGCACTGAGCCCACAGGGTGAGATGGAGAAAGAAGGAGGGAGCCACAGAGAGCAGAACGTAGAGTAGAAGAACAAGACTGAAGAGAAATGGAAGAGAGTGGAGAGAGATACAGTACCAGGTAGGAATGACCTCCTCTGAGCTTAGAGCTCCCAAACCCACGGCAGATGTTTCCTGCTCCAGCTGCAGCATCGTGATGAAGAGCTCCTGCATACGTTCCTGACTCCAGCTGCCCTGGAGCCATTCTGATAGATTAGATTAGTTTAGTTTTAGGTCATTCACAGGGTTCAGCAGTCTGATGGTCTTGATAGGCTTTGTGTGTCCAGTTCTCCTCAGATGGGACCTACGGGGGAAAGTTTATATGTTTATGATTAAAATGATGTTAATGTGAGATTCTGTGTTGTAGGCAGCAGCTGTTCCACCTGCAGAGGCAGCTGCTTAAAGAGAGAGCCAGAAACAGCGTTCTTGAGGAGCAGCTGAAGCCCATAAACATCCACAGATGGAGGCGACTTGAGGTGAAGGATTTGTCCTGCATTGTCTGTAGGGGTTCGCTGCACAGCAGTCTGAGCCAGTCACAGAGACCAGAAGATTTTTACATTTAGTTTCAACCGTAGCATTGAAAGAGTAAAAGGTCAGGCCGTGAACGTTGTGTAAATGACTGTCCCCTTCAGGGCAGTGACCCCGGCAAATACGAGCTCATCCAGAAGATTCAGGCTCTACAGAAGCGACTCATCACCAAAACCCAAGAGCTGGAGGAACGTGAGCTCCTCTTACAGGTAGACACCTTCATGTGTACACAAAGCACACTCAGTCACTGTCCATGCCTCCTGAGAAGAATCAGTGTTCCTCATGAAGGAGGATCTCCAAGAAGACGTTGGTGTAAACCATTTTCTCCATCGCCGCTCTGTGCCACTGTACATGGTCATGGTCATAGACAGTGTGCCCGCTGATGTGTTCAGACGGATAGAGATCCTGGATTTCATCTTTTAATCCACACACACTGTTCATAGAACAATGAACCAATAATCAGAGCTGGTTTTGGTCTTTTATGAACTCTGGAGACCATCAGTCCACTTGTTCCTTCAGTTCTGTCAGGAAATGGAGAAATATTTCATCCTGCTGTTTGCAGGTCACACTGAGGCTTTAAATCATAACACTTTATAGGATTCCAGCAATTCTCTACTTTAAAGCTAATATTTGTTGGATTTGAAAGTCTTCAGTGACTGTGTGAAGACAGACATCCTGGACAGTGCACACACGGCAGCACATCCTTTAGTTAAAGCTAAATGATGGATGGATGGATAGAGTTGCACAAGTTCTCTGCAACAGTTGGAACACGTTTGTCTTTGTTGTTCTTCTTCTTGCTAGATGTTGTGTCTACAATAGATCTCCTGAGTGATGTAAGCTCCCTTTCTATCATTCCTGAATGTTTCTTTCTTCTCATTTCCTCAACAAGGAAAAGGAGAAGCTGTACGTGGAGCTGAAGCACATTCTGGCCCGGCAGCCTGGTCCAGAGGCAGCTGAGCAGCTCCAGCAGTGCCAGTGGACCATCAGAGACAGAACCCAAAAGCTCAAGGTCTTCACTTCATGTCATCTCACTCACACTGCTGTCTCCTGTCCAAGGATGAAGCTCTTTATTTTTTTATATTGCTGTTTGACTCCAACTCTAGTCCTCCCAGATCGAGTCCGTCTGTCTCAGACACTGACCTCCAACTAAAGCGTGATGATGATGATGATGTTCCATTCTGTTGCTCCACTAAACAGCAGAATGAAGTGAAACTAAACCCAGTGTTGTATGATGTTGGATCCAATCAGATCACTTTGTGCTCAGATAGTTTCATATGAAGGCCTGCACCTTATTGAACAGGTGCAGCGTCAGGAGGGAGCTCCTGAGTCAGAGCAAGCCGACCCAAAAGGCAACAAGGGAGCCGGGTCACAACAAGAAAGGGAACTTTATTGGGGACAGGAGTGAGGACACCGAGGAGGCAGGAGGGGAAGTGCAGGCACACTCAGGTCTTCATGAGGGAGGTGAACGGGGAGAGGGTGATCCAGGGATACCGTCCAGGTGATCCAGGGATACCGTCCAGGTGATCCAGTGAGGGAAACCCGTGCTCCGGGGACATGTGCTCATGACGAGTGAATCCTTGGTGGGGGCCGTAGGGCTGCTGTCGGTGGCTGACTGGTGAAGGCTGGGCTGGAGGAGACGTCAGGTGGAGAAGGCTCTGAAGGGAATGATGAGAGGTGAGGGTTAGCACGAGGCAAGCAAACAACCAAAGCACGAGATCTGAATCATCTGGCGCTGAACCACGGGGAGAAGCCGGCTGAAGAGCAGATGCTCTGATGGCGATGAGGGACAGGTGTGGTGGAGGAGGAGCCCTCCTCAGCCATGGCCCCGCCCTGCCTGACACAACAAGCACACACAGGAAGTCATCTCACCAAAATAAGAGCTCAAACCTCGAACCCCAACATGCAGGATCACATTCTGGGTAAAACAAGGTTCATGTCTGTGTGTGTTTTGACAATATGATGTTCTTCCATCTGGTAACAGGCGCTGATAGCAGAGCTGAGGATGCTTGACTTCAAGATGAATGAGTGCAAAAGTGAGAATCAAAGATTGTCCAGTGAGCTAGCAAACATTAAGAAGAAGTACCTCAGTCAGAAAAAGCTCCACAGGTGAGAGGGACCTTTGCTTTACTTGTTGCCAACGATAGTCCACGTCAGTGTCATGGATGTGTTTCTAACATGCAGTTAGCATGTAAACTGTTTGAGCTGCTGATGGTTTCGTTCACCGTCTGATGATGTCTCCTCAGTGACCAGAGGACCAAGACCAAAGCAGAGCAGCTGGAAACGTTGCCCCAGCTGAGCAGCAAACCTCAGTTCACTGGAGGAGGCTTCAGGATCGACAACCCTACGAGAAGACAGTGGCCAGTATAGGAGAATACTCTGACTGCATTCATCAGTTACTTCGTTAAACGAGTTAAAAATGGCTGCTCTGCCTGCCCTCACCCTGTCAGGAAGGCACCGGCTTCCTGTCAGGCAGTCGTGACCTCTCTAATAAAAAACGTCCTCAATGTAGAAGCATAGCAGTGATCTAATTAATTAATACTAAGACGCTGCTGCCAGTATCATCTGGCCAATCAGAAGAGCAACATGCAGGCTGCTGTCGGTCTGTTAAAATCATGTCCTCTGAAATATTTCTGATGACTTTAAATCATCAGCTCCAATCACGTTCTCGCGCTTTCCAGCTTGGAAACACCACAAACACACAATCTGTAGACTTTTTATGTACTGAGTTAAATTAGGGCTCTTCCTCATTGTTAGTAGGCTGCTGTAGTTAAGGTTAGAGTAGATTACAAGCAACATGTGTTGTGTCTCCATTTAGGGGCATTACCTTTTCTTTTCTTTTTTTTTAATGTATGAAGTTGAAGAAACACACAGCAGGACTGAATGAGTGCATTCAGCTCCCTGTGCTGATAACAAATCAGTTCATTCCCTCACAAACATATAGAAGCTCACATCATGTTTATTCACATCATTCTGCAGCAAAAAGGTACCAAACTGTCTTCCAAGTCCAAGACGATAAAACCACAACAATAAAATCACATTCATCTTCGCTGAGCATCGAGAATATTATTTGAAAAAACAAAACACTGAACCTGACCAATAACAATAAGTCTGTTTGCACAGCAGCTCCTAAAAGAGTAAAGAAAAACCAAAACCCTGCTCTGTGTTGCGTACGATATGGAGGTGTGTGTTTAGCTGCCAGTGTGACTGACACACATCTGAAATGTGTTAAACCAATGTCTTTGAATCTGAACTGTACAGAAACATGGACAGACATGAAGCAGCGGACTGAGTCCCAGTCTCTCCACTGGCTTTAAGGACTGCAGGTGTTTCATTAGACTGAGGCTGCTGTGAGCATTTACACACAGCAGCATGAATCTGATGAACACAGGATCTGACTGCATCACTGTCCATTCACTGTTAATGTTCATACAATAACACAAACTGAATGCTTGTATTCAAGCTTTCATTTAAGTATAAAACACACTAGATGTGTCGTGGCCATTCCTGAGCCTGAGTAGCCAGTGTGCTGGATGTGCAGCAGCGTCTGACTCCACACATCCAGAACAGGGAGACAGTGTCCACAGCAAAAACATTTGAAAATAAGGCGCTATTTATTGTAATATAAACATTTCTTTAAAGCTCTGAAACAGAACAGCTGAGGATGTTAAAGATGAACTCAGGATGAATGGGACCGCAGGCCTTGGATGTGAGTCTCTTCCTGGCAGCCTCCCACGCGTTTACCACCATCCTCCAGCCACTAGATGGGGTCGACTCCAGAAATTAATAAAGAAGGACAACAATCATTCTGGCTCCTACAAAATGAAACCGAAGAAAAAAGTGTCATAAATTAAAAATACACTACAAACAAGTCATTGTACAAACACAACAAATGTTCTACAGCTTATAGGGGCTGTGGACCGATTCAGTTCTCTACCTGCTACCTCTGCTGCAGCAACGTGAGCAGGTTGGGACAAAACCGACCTGCTGCATGGACCCCACCCGAGTGCCCCCCAGTCCTGACCTGCTACAGTTTATTATGAAACACACACACAGAAACAGACACACACACACACACACGCTCGGTGCTGTGAAGATGCGCGTGCAGCATCAGCAGCGTTGCCAGGGGAACCTCACCCTGCATCACTGCTGCTAGCTTGTCTGTTGCTAGCTAACTGTTAGCGCTCAGCAGCTCCTGTAACTCTTGTGTTTGTCGCCCAGACAGCGCCTCCTAGAGGAACAAAGTCAGAGGCAGAGCCGGCAGCTCACCAGCGACAGGCTCGGGGTTTTAATTACTTCGTTAATTCTTTGTTTCGCCGCCTTCATGTGACAACAACAAACAGCGAACACCACCAGCAGCCAGGGCCACACTGCGCAAGCTCCGACTTCTAAGGACCACGGGAAATGTAGTCCTCAATACTGGAGGATGTAGGCGAGACATGGACCGTCCAGTTTAGTGTTTTACAGAGAAATGCCTCATTAAACTCTAATAGAAATTATTTTTATATGTATATTATTGTATTGCGCTATTGAATACGTATCCAGTTGATAATATAGGATGTTTTTAAGGTTTTCTAGTGTCTGGGCTGCATTATAGAACATTTCACAGTTGCATTGACTTTACATAAAGAAGTTTCTGTTTAATAGACACTAACATAACCTGTCTCAAGTCTAAATGTTTATGCTTTAATTAAAAAAAACATAAGTACCAGAAAATATGTATTTCAGTTGTAGCTTTGCCACCATAAATCCACATGCATCTCTGTCTCTATGTATTTGTGTGTATGTATTTCTGCAAACCAAACATGAACTCAGACGTCCTGCTAATGAGCTGAGTTAGATTTCCATGGCTGTGCTGAGGCACTCCCCCGAGGCGGTGCCTCGTTCAGGGCTGCATCATTCGTTCATCTGTGCTCAGATGCTGCTGTGAACTTCACCAGACTGCTGCCTATGTGACCAGAAGGGATCTCACACACCACCCATGGTTGTCCTGAGGATAAGAAATGTGCACAAAAGGAAATATGCACTCCTCTGCTTGTGCATTGTTGGCTTCATTATGTACAGGTATCTTGGGTAAGTAAAGGTCTCATTGTATTGGCTCATATGTTAGTTGGAGCTGTTCTGAGGCTCTTCATGGCAGCTCTGTGGAGTTCTCACAGACCTGCTCCACAGTGACAGCATTTTGATGTCACAGCAGACTCTGAAGTTTCATTTTGTCCTTTTGAGGTGTGGATGCAGAATGACTTTAACAGCATTTGCAGTATAATAGATGATATATAAAATAGTTTCTTTTGAATGTATAAAAGCTTGTCTTGACTCAAGATGTGAGTTTCCTCCTGCTCCTTTGTGACCGTGTCTGGTAACTCAAGACGTCTGCAAATTCCTATCAAGCCTGTCATGTGGTCCGTTCAGGCACAATAGCCTCTGTGCCACATTATGTGAGTGTGACACAAATAACTCACAGCTCCTTCTCCAGTGTGCCGGCAAAGGGGCGGAGGATGAGCAGGAAAGTGGGCCTGAGCGCCAACACGTCCCAGTTCACTCTGGAGGGAGAGCCCTTCCGCATCCTTGGGGGGTCCATCCACTATTTCCGTGTGCCCAGGGCCTACTGGAGGGACCGCCTGATGAAGATGAAGGCCTGTGGCTTCAACACCCTCACTACGTAGGAGGACTATTACTGCTAAGGTTGCATTATGTGCTACAAGCCACCAGGTCAGTGTTAACAGAGCGCACCTGCATCTTTGCAGGTACGTGCCATGGAGTCTGCACCAGCCGGAGCAGGGTGTTTTTAACTTCCACACACAGCTGGATTTAGGGTAAGCCGTCTTGTTGTCTGATTTGACCTGAGTGCAGAACACACATGATTAATCAGCACATGGTACTCTGCTTGTGGGTGTGTAGATCATGTACCCACCAAACCAAATATGTAACCTGAAAATGTCAGAAACAAGATTTAAACAAGCCTTGCACCGGCTCTGTAGCTGCGGTGACAACATTATCTGCTCTGAGGCATACTGGGAATACTCTCCTTTTCTTCTCTTCATCTAAGCCCCAGTGCTCAGGGGAGAAACTGGAGGCAGAGAGTCCCACCTGACAACAGCGGCATCTCCACAACAACAGCAACTTATCAAACAATTAACAACACAGCGGTGATAAGTGAGGAGAGAAGTGACGCCTCAGCCTGCTGCTGTTGTTGCCAGGCACTTTCAGCACTCATCAGGCAACAAGATATGGGGTCTCACATGAGTCTAAACCTTGTGTTTATGCAGAGAGAAACTGTGGTCTCTGTCTGGGTTTCAGAGCGTACATCAGTCTTGCGGCTGAGTTGGGACTGTGGGTGATTTTACGTCCGGGGCCCTACGTCTCCTCTGAGCTGGACCTTGGAGGACTGCCGAGGTAGTGCTGGTTTTCTCTACATATAATAACAGTGCATATAAATCCTTATTTTCTGTCTGCTTGGAAACCATTGTAGGTTTAATCCCAAAGCCCCTGCAATGAATTAATGATGAACAGAGTTTAGTATGAAAGAGAATTTAAACCCAAGAGGACAAAAACCCCTTGATCTGAAGCACAGAGTTTCATTTTTAGGCTGAGTGCAGCCCGGGTGAAAAGACCACATCTTGCTGTGAGCGAGGACTGTCCTCATGTTTGAAGCTTTGTCCAGTATGTTCGCTGTACTGTGGCTCCGTTGTTGCTGCAGCTCTGTGCCGTTAGTCATAGCTAAGCATCTTGTTTTGCATCTCCTTGCAGCTGGCTTCTCCGGGACGGCAGCATGAGGCTGAGGACGACTCACCCCGCCTTCACTCAGGCTGTCAACACTTTCTTTGACAAACTTATACCAAAAGTGGTTCCACTGCAGGTCGCTTTTTAATTAGTCAACCAGGAAACAAGTCTCATAGCTCCAGGTTGTCTGACTTGCTGTCTTCATGACAGAGTGCTTGTTTGTCTGTTTTAGTTCAAGAAAGGAGGTCCCATCATCGCAGTGCAGGTGGAAAATGAGTACGGCTCCTTCGCAAAGGACCAAAGCTACATGCTTTTCATTAAAGAGGTAAGGTGACAGTCCTGCTTAATTAAGACTCCTAATTAGCCCTACATGTTGGTGCATGTGTACAAACAGAGAATGATGCTGATGGAACATTCTGCTGACTTCTGTTGTGATTCTGTTTTATTTTGAAAGGCTTTACAGTCCAGAGGGATCAGTGAGATGTTGCTCACATCAGACAACCACAACACACTAAAGTCAGGGGGTGTGGATGGAGGTACAGTTTATCATTAACACACACACACACACACACACACACACACACACACACACACACACAGCTGAACCTGTGTCTCCTGCCTTGCAGCCATCAGGACAGTGAAGCTGCAGAAGCTAAATCAGAGGACCATCCAGGACCTGAATGCCATCCAGGTGCGTGTCTCAGTTCACAGAGGAGACGGTTCATGAACCTGAGCTGTGTGAACTGACCGTCACCTGTCTTCAGCCCAACAGCCCCACCATGGTGATGGACTACTGGACCGGCTGGTATGATGTGTGGGGGGACCTCCACCATGTGCTGCCCCCAGAGGGTGAGGAAGCTTCTTCTGGTCATCACTGCATTCATACACAAACTGTTTAGATCCTTCACTAAATATTAATTTAGGATGAAAATATTTTATATTTTGAAATGTTGAGTTGGGTGATTATATAAGCGTTGGAGGTGAAGTTTCTATCTCCATGCAGGAGAACGTCCTCTGGGTGTTACTAGATTATTATTATTATTCATTCATTAACGTGTGAGCAGCACAAGTGTCTTCTACAGGACTCTACAGGATCATTTATCACCTGCTGATTGTTTTCTCAGTTGGAGGATTGACTGCTTGATTTGTTTTATTGAGCAAAGTGAATTTAAAACCCTGTATTGAATTTTTATTCACACTGTGAATCTTTACTTTACTTGTGTTTAATTTAGAAACACAAGTTCCCTGTTGCCTAAAAAATGCATTAATTGTACTCTGATTTGTTAATTAGTTCAAAGTGATAATATGGGTGTAAATTTAAAACGAGCTGAGCTAAATGAATTAGAGAAACATGTTCAATAAACGGGACATATTGGCTTGAATCAAGTCACAGTCATAACTATAATAATAAGCACCGCATTCAGCATCTTCTTTAAGTTAAAGTATGTAAGTATTATGAAAACGTACTCAGAACATAAGAGTGTACGTTTTCATTGTGCAGCTGAAGGTCCTGTGTCGGTGTTTTACTGTGTGTGATGTTGTGGGATAATCCGACTGCTGCATATGTGCTCTACTGCTGTAGGTGTGTAAACTTTAACCAGTTTCAGCTGCCGTACATTTAAAAACGGTTTAAATACCTTAAGAAGGGCGATGTTCTCAACCCATGAGACTACATTTAAAGTTTCACGTTACCAGAAAACCTTCAATCAGAATCACTCAGTGTGGACATGAAGGCCATAAAACATGGTGATGTGAAATAAATAACACATTTACGTGCATATTGCTGCTGGACATACTATTATTGTCCTTGTACAGTTTTGGTAAAACTCTATCCTGCACCAACACGGGACTCTAGCAGCTGTCTTTCCTCTGAACGTCCACTCACACTTCAGCTTCTCAGACCATCAGCAGAGTGACTCTCGGTTTCCTTTTGACTTTCGACCAGTCATGTTTCATCTGAAGCAGCTCGTGACTCCTGTAAACACACGCGTTCTACCTCCACCGTAGCTTTTTGCATGAGAAGCGTCGACTACATGCCTGCAATGGAAATGCAAATGTGAAAGTCAGGGTCATGCTGCTTTTGATTGATGCACTTCAGCACCTGGCAAACAGGCTCAAAGGCTTTCAGGGACACACTTTAAAATCTGTCACAAGCTCACAGAAAATTCTGTCGCAGTGAGATTCCCACACCGTGACCTTTATGGTTGTAAGCAGACAGACTGTGAACATGTTGACCTGTTGGCAGATGTGGTGTCCACCGTGAGGGAGATCCTGAGGAGAGGCATGTCTGTCAACCTGTACATGTTCCACGGAGGATCCAGCTTTGGCTTCATGAGCGGCGCTCTCGCTGATCCTTCCTACAGAGCTTTAGTCCCCAGCTATGGTTGGTTTATGTGCTGTCACAAACAAACAAGTGGTGACTTTGATGCAAATACACACAGATTTAGTTTGAATGATGAAACGCTGGAAGACACTATCTGCTGTCTACGGAGCAGCACTGACAGCAGCTTCCAGCAGGTGGCGGTGCTGGACTGTTAACATGCACTGTGATGTTGTGCAGATTATGACGCTCCCTTGACTGAAGCCGGGGAATACACTCCAAAGTACCATCTTCTCAGGGACTTACTGTCTCGATACAACAGTAAGTCACACATGAGAGTACAGTGTGTGAGCAGATGGTGTCGCTGGCCTCTTTGCCGTACTGTTTGGACCTCTGTGTGCAGGAGGAGACACCTTCCCCGACATGCCAGCCCTGCGTTACAGGGAGGCTTATGAACCCGCCATCATGTACCAGCACCTGTCCTTATGGGATGCTTTGAGCTTCACTGAGGGAGTATGTTTTCTGTCACATTATCTGTAACCTTTGTGTGTTTGTAATGAAGTCAATCTGGCTTTTCAGTCAGTGTAATTATTCACATTTTCTCTGCAGCCCTTTAAGTCAGCCAAGCCAGTGAACATGGAGAAGCTGCCCGTGAACAGCGGGAACGGCCAGGCCTATGGCTACACTCTGTATGAGACCTCCATCACCAGCGGAGGACTGCTGAAGTCAGGAGATAACGTCCGAGACCGAGCGCTGGTGAGACACTTTGACTGCAGGTGAAGGTGTGATGGCCCCACTCTGACCTTCTGCACCATCAGTAGACATTATGGGCCGACATGTGTTTGTAGTTGCAAAGACTGAATTTTCTGGTAAAGGTTTTGGTAGTTGGATCTTCTTGTTGCTCATTTTGGTGAGAAGATGCTCATATATGCTAAATATAAAGACCACATGCTGAGCGTAGCATCAAAACTGAAGTCAAGAGAGAACACACTGGAAAGACTCACACTCTGTCAAACACACACAAGAAGCAATAAAAAGTGTGAAGTATTAACAGCATATATACGATCTGCAAAAGTATCTGCCAACAGAACCAGACTAGTTCACTTTCAACAAGCAGAACCGTCTCTTCTCATTTAAAGCCGGGGCGGCCGGACTAAAGACAGTCCCATTGGTCGAGATGAAAAAGAAAAATGCAGGAAAACATGCTTCAATAGGATAACTTCATGATAAACATCGATGTGTTTGTGCCACTATTAAGAGACTGGTTGGCTTTGCTGAAGGGATGAATGTCAGGACTGTGACGGGAACATCTCTGTGAACGGTTCAACCTGGGCTCATACAGGTTGTCATCAGTCCCACTGCATGCTGCTGCAGCATCACTGCTTCTATATGACGGTCAGGAAAGTGTTTTCCAGACAGGAGAGATGTCACATCGCTGCTTCAACAGTCTGTTACAGTGACCACATTCTTTCATTCACACATACGGCTGAAAGCAGACATTCACATACGCTGTATAAAAAGACACAGAACCGTTTTTCTCACTATCTGACGTTAAATGTGACTAAACTTCTCCTGCTTTTGGTCAGTTAGGATCACCAACATGACTTCTATTTGCTAAATGCCAGAATAACAAGACAGAGAGTTTTAAACTCTGTGACTTGGGTCAAACGTTCTGGGTTTCCTTCCACCAGCTTCTCACAACAGTCTGATGAGTTCTGGCCCATTCCTCCTGACAGAACTGGTGGAACTGGGTCAGGTTTGTTGGTCTCCTTGCTCCACTCATGTTCTCCAGGATGGAGATCAGGGCTTTGTGATGGCCACTCCACAACACTGACTCTGTTGTCCTGAAGCCTCTCTGTAGCTAATCTGGAGCTATGCTGAGGGTCATTGTCCATCTGAAGACCCATTAGTGTCCAAGCTGTAACTTCCTGCTGATGTCTGGAGATGTTGCTTCAGTATCTCCACATCATGTTCTGTCCTCATGATACCATCTATTGTGTGAAGGTCACCAGTCCCTCCACAGCATGATGCTGCCACCCCCGTGCTCCACAGCTGGGATGGTGTTCTCAGGCTTCAAGCTTCCTCCTTTTTCC